TTTGCTGCCTCCATTAGCCAAATCTGGGCAAGCTGGGTTAAGCAGGATGCTCGAGACTACTAATATGAGACTCTCAAATGGCCTTCTACTGCTTATGTGCAAGCTGGGTTGGGATTTTCGAGGGAGAGTTCCTTTATTCGGTGATCACATGTTTATTGAATCAAATGCTATGGATCCAGGCATTTAAGCAGTTAAACTCAGTCTGTACCCTCACACCTGTATTCAAATAGTAGAGGAAGCAGAGGAGATGGTACAAAGTGAATACAGACAAAAGTCTCAGAGAACTATGAAAGAGAGCAATGGAATGAATTTGCAGAGCAGAAGGATGATAAAGACCTGGTGCTTACAAAGAGGGGCTGTGTAGGGTTTTGGGAGGCCTGGAGTGTCTCCCCAAGGTTCCTGTGTGGGAAACTGTTGGCAGTGTGGCGACGCTGAGAGTGGTGGGACTTTAGGTGATGGAGCCTGGTGGAGAGTGGTTAGGTCACTGGAAGAGCCACTTTCAGGAGAGATTAAAGAGTCATGTGGGACTTAGGTAATTTCTGTGAGAGTGAGCTGCTATGAAAACAGCAAGCCTGACCCATCTCAGTTGTCTGGCTTCCAGTGCCTCTGGTTCACTCCACAATCCCATCACGTTTTCCCCCATGTTATGATGTTGTCAAGGAGGCCCTCCCCAGAGCTGAACTGATGGGATTTCCCTATACTGGGCTTTGCCCTCTGAAACTGAGCCAAAAAGCCCTCTTTTTATCATTAAAAAGTATCCAACCTTAGGTATTTTGTTATAGCTACAGGAGACGGATAAAGCTGGTCATGGAAGGGCTCTCTGAGGAAGTTACCCTAAATCAGTAACAGAGTCTTCATCCTTGCTTCTTTCTCCATCCCTGAATGCTTGAGCATATGATGAATGCATGTGTTCAGGGTGAGGAGGACAAAGCAGAGCCTGCTGACATCTCTCTTGCTGGCCTTCTAGCAATCATGCATGGGGATGAGAGTCCCTTTCTCCTGAGACAATTCAGGGATCTGTCACAGGTTGCATAGTTTCTAGCTGTGGTTCTTAATGGTTTTGAGTCACAGATTTCCTTAGAGAATTTAAAATGACTTAGGAAACTCTCCTCAGAGAAATTCTTTCAAAGTGAAAAATGTTAGTGCAAACTTAAGGTGATCAGAAGCTCATTGAAAGTGCTGTACAGAGGGCTTCCTTTTCCCACCACTCAGAAATGCTGGAGTAATCAGCAATATCAGTCATTTACTGAGAGGTCAGCATGTCTCAGTGACTTCAAATGCCAGCTACTGTATTATCCCAGGGAAGCCCACAACAAGGACTAAGGGTGCCTTGTGTGCATAAAGGTCTTCATTTCACTCTACAACAACAAAACAAAAATGTGAAAAAGGACAAAAAAAAATAAAGGCCACATTTTACATTGCCAACCTCACTGTACAGAATAGGGAATAAAGGCACAGATTGAGAGAGATACTTTCCCAAAGACACACAGGGATTAACTTAGTGTCTGCCTGATTGCTCTACCTCCAGTTGACCTGGTAAGTAACTAGAAAATATTTTGGCTGAGGATTTTGTCTACTGAAAGGCTTGAACAGTTCTTAATGTATGATTTCAGGAAACTTTGGTAGTAAGTCTCAGAGGTAATGAGTTTCCTTCTAGTGTTGGGTTTTTCTTCATACTTGTACTATTTAATGGTGGCCACCAAGTGCCCAGGGCATTTGTGGCTGCTGCTTACTCAGGAAAGCCTCTGTACAGTACTACATGTGTTACTTGGTATTTTATTTGCTTTCCTCATAGTTGGACAAAATTCCCAACACACACAATTTAAAGAAAGAGAGGTTTATCTTGGCTCACATTTTCAGACTATAGTTGGCCAACTTCAAAGAAAAAATGGTATGACAAAGTGGCACGGCAGGGTAAAAACTGCTCACATCATGGAGGTCAGGAAGCAGATGGTGACAAAAGGAAGCAAGGAGGGAGATACACTCTTCCAGGTCACGCCCTCAGTGACCAGCCTCTTCTGACCTGGCCTCCCTCCTAATGTCACATTTAGCTACAATGCCTCTCATGATCCAAACACCTTTAAAAGCCCTGTCTGTAAATGCAAGAGGCTGTTGTGGGCATCTATATATAAACTATAACATTCTGCCCCTGATTTCCAAAAGTTTCAGGTGCATCTCTTTAAGCAAAATGCATTTAGTTCATCTATAAAACTTGCCAAAGTCCCAACTTTTGTTGCAGCATTGCTGAAGAGTCCAAGTCCAAAATCTCCTCTGAGACCCAAAGCAATCTAAGTTGTGTTCCCTGTAAAAATAAAAAAGAAGGTTAAACACAGCTAACTTACAATGACACAGGGTAAACTTTCCCATTCCCAAAGTGAAAAATACTGGATAGAAATCAATGAGACAAAAACAGACTGAAATTCAGCAGGGAAAGCGTTAAATCCTGTAGTTCCATGTCCAGCATCCAAAGCAAGCTGTGGCCAGATTTGAGCTCCAAACTGCTTTGGTATCCCTGCTGCTCCAGCATGGCAGATGGTTGTGGCTCTCATTTCCTCTCACTGGTACTGGCCTTGCTCACTGCCTGTGATGTTCCTCAGATGGTCTACATCGCTGGTGTCTCCAACTCTCTGGGTCTCTAATGCACTTGTGGCTCCATTCTCACAGTTTCACACACTATCCTCTCAGGAGCACACTGCCTACCTCTCAGCCCTTCTTCTGTAATCTGGCTGAAAACCTCCTTGAACCCGCAACCCTTGCATTCTGCATGCCTGTAGACCAACACCGTGGAGATAATTCCAAGGTCTGTCACCAATTTAAACCGTAGCAAGCCCCCCTTAAATCATGGCTGCAGTGGCCTGAGTACCTGGATGGCTAAACCGTGGGAAGTTAAGCTGGCCCTGAATGAATTTTGTAGAGCACAGGGGAAGATCTTGATGTTTTCTGGAATGCCCTCAATGCATCCTTCTTTTCAATGCTAATGTTTTCAGTAACCAAGCTCTCTTTTTGTCAAAATGTGAAAGGTCCTTCCTTTCTAGAAAAATGTTTAAATGGCCTATTGGCTCCTGATTTTCAATATTAACCTGGCTAAAACCAGCAAGTAGTATCTATGAATTAGTCTGCTTCCTTTAATTTCAGTCTCCTCCAAAAATCTCAGGACATGAGCACAGTGTTTCTGCCAATGGAGTCCTTTTTTTTTTCAACTGAAACCTCCTGAGCCCAGTCTTTACTGTCTGCCTTATTTTTTTTTAAGCATTCCTCTACTCCATGCTCCAACAAGAATCTCCCACCAAGATTAGTTTACAATGTTCTAAGGCTTCTCTAGTCAGCATCTCCAAACCTTCCCAAATTCCTTCCATGAGCATAACAGAAATAACCCCACCTCTCTGGTACCGAGATTTGTCTGAGTCACTTTCGTCACTGCTGGGACAAATTACCCAACACCTATAGTTTAGGAGAGGTTTATTTTGGTTCACATCTCAGTTCATGGTTGGCCAGGTCCAAAAAGGAAACAGCACAGTGGAGAGGCCTGTCTGAGGAAAATCTTCTCATATCTTGGTGACCAGGAAGCACAAAATGATGGAGACTGCTGGAAAGGGAGAAATATGCTTCCAGGTCATGACACCAGAAACCTGCATCCTCCAGCCAGGCCCACTTCCTATTGTCACAGTTGGCTACAGTGACCCAAGATTCAAAAGCCCCAGCTATGAGCGCATGAGGCTGTGAGGGAACATTCAGATGGAAACCATAACACTTGGAGCCAGCTGCAACAGAAAGAAGATGGTGATGAAATTTTCTACTTGACAGTAAGTGACTTCACTGCTGCAGATTGTGTGTGCTACTGCGGGGATTTATTTCAAATAAGAAGGAATGCCTCACATCCACATAGACACTCCTGAGCAAGGGGTAGCAAGTTTTTTTTTTTTTTTTTTTTTTTTTTTTTTTTTTTTTTTTTT